AAAAAATGATGAAACAGGACTGTTAAATGATGCTACCTTCAGCTGTCTTCTAGATTTACTCTGCTCCTCCTATCCGACGACGTATGCCGAGCCCTACCTGGATTCCGTGGCTCAAATAGAGTGTTGCTTCTGTTTCCAGATCCCCTGGTTCTCATATGACCACCACCGCGCCTAAATGGCTGCCTCCTTATTTCCCTTTCTGATGATACAGGAGAAGTTGGTACATCATTTTTACTTGCTTCGTAGGGCAATGGTTGGATTCCCTGCAAATCCGGTTCTGGAGCATACTCAATTGGCCTTTTGGGCTCATCTATTCTCCTAAATGTAATTGATATCCTAGAAGGATCAGAAAAGAAGCGAGTAAGGTTGGATAACATCATGCGAGTAAAGGTCTTGGCTTAATGGAACTCTGTGTACAAGGGACCTCCTGAATTATACCTCTTTGTAGGGACTGCAGGTACACAATGTCTAGCAACATCGGCACTATTTCCATTCAACACAAGAACAGACCTGGGAGAAAATGAAAAACAGTAAGATTCGAATCAAATGCAATTGACAACCTCCGGAGATGGAGATGGGGATTGGGGTTTACGTACCCGACAGGCAGGGGGATTGCAATCGGCCCAGAAAATTGACCAGGACCTACGATAGAAAGGTTTGTTCCAAAAACAATATTGCATTCACTGAGGAATGACACGGTGCAAAACGGTCGAACAAAATCATGGTTGTCAATATGGGGAGGTATACAGTCCCCTTCGTCGTAGATGTTCACAATGCAACTATCAGGAACACATGTTGGAGGAATCACATGCCATCTCACCAACCTTCTAATGATCACCTTAAAGAGAGAAGGAATTGAATCCACAATTTCACTTTGAAGAATTCCAGGAGGGTTGCCATTTTTATCCTGTCGTCATAATTTTTATTAGAATGATTTACCCTTTTTTAAACATGATGCTCTAATTAGGGATACCTAACCGAGCATCCCAATTGGTCGAACGTCAAAAATGTAAACTTAAATGCAGTTCAAAAGAACCACACCGACTTAGCAATAAGATAAGACTCACAGCTGCATAATTGTAACAGCACCCAAACTGCAGAGTTACTCGTCCCTTTCCCTTCATCCATTTTTTGGGAGCGGAAAATGTTCGTTCTGCAGAAAAAAGAAAAAAAAAAAAACGATTCAGGTGTTGCATTCGAGTCACTATCATGTTTGTACAGAAAAGAAATTCAAAGAAGTAGAAACCAAGTATGGGGACAATGGAGAAACATTAGCATGTGTTCTCGCTATATCTGAAAATTGATTCCACACCCATACAGAGATTAAATTTTTCAATGTGCACCATGAACTATGAAGCCTCTAAATTTGATAACCAATCAGCAAATGAAGGCAGAGAAAATGCGACATGAACACAAATGAAGGCAGATAAACTGTGCTCAAATTTTCTTGGTGACTTGGTTTCAAGACAATATGCACCATGAACTATGAAATCTGTGCGTTTGATATCCAATCAACTAAAGAAGACAGAGAAAATGCCTGTGCTCAAATTTCCTTGGTGACATGGTTGAAGAATTATTCTAATTCCACTTAACAAATATAAAAGCTGCTACTGGTTAGCTTCCTCAAAATTCTCAGTTGTTTCCCCTAATCTGTTTGTAAAGGAATATGCCGAGAAATTTGTTATATTAGTAGCAAAAGGATTCAGCATACTTAAGAAGGATAATAACCGAGATGCATGAACTCAAGGTCTAACGAACAGATTTCAAGATATAAATCCAAGAGAGCTACTACCCTACAAAATCACCCCGGTAGGCTATAAATATGCAAGGTAATAAGGGAATATCACGTTAGTGAAAAGAGAGAGCAAAAGGGAAAGCAGTGATGTGAGATCCCACGTTGGTTGGAAAGGAGAACAAAACATTCATTTATAAGGGCGTGGAAACCTCTTCCTAGTAGACGTGTTTTAAAACCTTGAGGTGAAGGCCTTCAAGGGAAAGTCCAAAGAATATAATATTTGTTAGTGATGGGCTTGAGTTATTACAAATGGTATTAAAACAAGACACCAAACAGTGTGCTAGCGAGAACACTGGCCCCCAAGGGGGGTGGATTGTGAGATCCCACATTGGTTGGAAAGGGGAACGAAGCATTCCTTTATAAGGGTGTGTAAACTTCTTCCTAGTAGATGTGTTTTAAAACCTTGAGAGGAAGCCCTTGAAGGAAAAGCCCAAAAAGGATAATATCTACTAATGGTGCGCTTGGGTTATTACAAGTGAGTCAGGAAGAAAGCAGTCAATAAATAGGTAGATTAGGAAGAGAGTGACCCTCTCATATTATCTGGTTTGCTTATGTAGAATTCGCACTCAGAAACTTTCTAAGAATAGATTTTGGCCTTTTCTGTTCTGCTACTATCAACTACCAGATCAAATACAACTATTCTTATAGCCTAGGCTCCGAATGCTAATGCTACTCTCTAATTAACCACACCACAGACTAACTCCATTCAATACAAAACATTTTACGAGATTATACGAGATTACACGAGCATCAATAGTAGAGCCACATTAACCAGATTATCCAAGGAATATAAGGCTTGCGTCCTGAGGTGAGGTTTAAATTTTAGCCTCAAAGAGTCATAAACATATAGCAGGATAGCAGGTTAGGTAAGCCAATCACTCAGAATAAAGAAAAACAATATGCAGAGGGGAATGATACCTCTTAATTCTCCCTTCATGCCCATCTCCTGTAGTGCATAAACATGATCAACTATTCTCTTCTGTTCTGCAGCGCTAAAAATGCCTGTATGAAGCTCAAGTCCTTCAAGAATGTTTACAAATTTTCCTTTAAACCTCTCCAAACAAATAAAATCTTTCTTTCGTCCAACACTCATGAACCTGATGTACTCTCTTTGCTCTCTAGATAGCTTAGGCTTCTCAATAACCTTCGATATTGTTAATTTCCCTGCGTTCGCATTGACTAATCTTTTTTCTGTTTCGCATTCATCTTCCTCTTCTTCTAGTTCATCCTCCTGAGTCATGTCGGCCCACGACAATCGAGGCCCTGATGTCTTGGTGGAATTTAATTTAGAGGATGGCTCACTAGAAGAAGTTTCAGGTAATCCATCAGCTTCATTCCCTTCATTTATGCCATCCTGCCAACTCCCTAATGAATTTGTTTCCGCTTCATCTTTCCAACTTCCAAGAGAATTTGCATCACAAGCATCAACCTCATTCCCATTACTCTCACTCATGTCTTTCTCTCTTGGGGGAGGTGCAGAACTCGAGTCCTCGTTGGGACGGACAGCTACAATATGATCAAATTCAGCAATTACATCAGACAATCCTAATGATTTAACAGAGAAATCATCCAAATTATCCGAACCATAGGAACAGATAATGTAATCTACAGTAGACGCCTCACTCTTTTTAGCAACATAACAAATCAGGAAGTCCCAATGCAGTAATGCTTAAAGAAGTACGCAAGAACAGTAACAAACTACACACGTACACTCAATTATTCTAAAGAATCTAGAAATTTAGATGGAATAATTCCTCAAGAACAAATAGAAAGCAACAACAGAATACCTGGATCAAGGGCGCGGATTCGATCCGAGAGCAATTGCGTGCAGTCTTGACAGAGATCTCTGGAAAGAAAGGGAAGCCAAGTGGTGAGAAACTCAGAAGCGATCCGTAGCTCTGAGGGCTTGTAATTTTGAAGAAAGGGGTCTTCCAATTTGAGGTGCTGATGACTAATCGCCATCTGCAAGTGTCAATTGTGAGCGAGGGAAATGGTGGCTGTGAAGGTGTTGTTCAAGAAGCAAGAAATCTGTCAGAGCAGGACCGGAGAACTCGAGCGGAAGCGATGGGTCTGAAAATCAAAATTTTGGGAAACTTCGTTTGTGGACCGCAGAATTTAGAGCGAAATTGCGAATGATTTCGTAATTGGACATCGGTAGATGAAGATTTTTGAAGAGATGTACAAAAAACTGGATCAGATTCTCGGTCGGATCCGGTTTTAGATTCGGATTCCTTTCTTAATACGGTTCCTCCAAATTTTGGCCAATCCAAATATTCATACATACATACATATATCATTCTTTTTAATTTGAGATAAGAATATAGATATTTTAAAATTCAGAAAAAAAAAGATAAATAATCATTATTTTTCAATATGTATTTGGTAAAAAAATTAAGATTAATAAAGATTTAGTTGAATAGATATTTTTACCGATAACAATGTATAATTATTTCAATATCTATCAATTTTGAATATAGTTAATCGGTGAAGAACAAGAACGTGATGATATACCATTTTAAATATCATCATTTAACCATTTTTATATCTATGGTTTCGTTTGTTAATAATCCATCGATATGTTTTTACCATTGTCTATTGACGATAATTTAAACGTGTTTAATATAATATTTTTATGCCTTTTAGAATTGGGAATATGATTTTAGACATAGAATTGTTGAGTGGTAATTTAGTAGCGATAGAGTTGTTTGTTAGGTTTAGAAAATAACAATTTAAAACATCTTTTAAAATTTTCAATAATACTCTTAAATTTTAATTTTTTTTTTTGGAATCGGATCATACTTTGTTTAAAGATACCTTTAAACTTTAGAAGGTTTCATTGAAACTTCGGAAAGTTTCATTAATACCCTTCAAATTTAAAAAAAAAAAAAAAACAAAAAAAAAACCTTATCATTAGTGTTATGTTTAAAAAATAACCATTAAATTTTAAAATTAATCATAACACCCTCTACGTTTTATAAAAAAATACTTACCGTTAACCATCTATTCACTTTTCTAGATTATCTCCAAATTTTTTAACGTTAAAAAGTTTAAAGGCGTTTTGAATATTTTTTAAAAAATTTAACGGTGTTTTCTCTCTATCTTAGTCGAGGAAACACCAAGATTAAGGAGTCGAACTATTTTGATTCATTTTTAAAATTGGGAGCCATTGTTTTGTCTCTATCTTACTAGAAAGGTAGAAAAGGACTGAAAATATGTATCTTTATATATCTATATATAATGATTCAACTCTAAAATTCTCAACTGTTCAACAAAAATAGTAATGTCATTCACAGCCAAACTTCCTTCCCTAAGTAATGAAGAACTCATAATCAATCAATATATTGGAGACTAGGAGAGCCAATTAAAACAACCAAAAACTTGAGGTTATTGCCGCTAAATGAAAAATTGTTTCTCGAGGGAATGAAAGAAACTTACAGCACGAGAACAACCACCTCCCGAAGTCTGTCTAAATGTGCTTATATGGCACTCAGTGGCAGTGAAAGTGAATCTCTTGGAGTCTTGCACCTGTTGCAAAAAAGGCATTACAATACTGGATGTGCACTGCAATGGAAGCTACCAAACTCATGTAAGAAGTATAACCGTCTAAGCCCACTGCTAGCAGACATTGTCCTTTTTAGACCTATCCCTTATAGGCTTCCCCTCAAGGTTTTAAAATACGTCTGCTAGGGAGAGGTTTTCACACCCCTTTCAATATTGTCCTTTTTGGACTATCCCTTATGGGCTTCCCCTCAAGGTTTTAAAACACGTCGGCTAGTGAAAAGTTTCCACACCCTTATAAAGAAAGTTTCGTTCCCCTCTCTAACCGATGTGGGGATCTCACAAGAAGTCTACTAAATTAGGAACCATAAGAACATAGAACACTCGAGCACTCTCCTGACAGGATTAATAATAAGACCCAAAAAATAAATATCTATGCGTAATATAATAATCCGAATGCGTAATACAGACACATTCAACGTGAATGTTTAGAAAAAAAAACTATGTTAAATGTGAAGGAGAAAAACCAAGTTAAGATGATAACCTGTTACATTGTAAGCGAGACGCATAATTATGATTATTGCAATTCGTGCACATCCAATCTCCGTTGCGCCACTGTTTCGCTCTGTGGATTCAATAATGCCAGGATTGGTCAATGTCAAACATTATGAATTTGAATTAATGACATCACAAGTCTTAGTTGCAGTTTGGCTAAGAAGAACAGGGTTTTACTGGAATTTATGACATAACTTCGAAGGTCAGAGAAAATGAAATAGAGCTAGCTAATGCAAATACATATTATATTATACCCTTTCCCAAGGAGCGTTGGTGCAGTTGCTTGTTGGGGGAACTGCATTGGCATTTCCAAATTTGGAGCTATACCAGAACTTTCGTGGGGATAAGAATTATATAATAGTCCCACATTTGGGTCACTACTGGAACCAACCATCTGCTCAAACCCTGGGAAAGACTGTTGTTGCTCATTTGTCTGATGCCAAGAAAAGAAGAACAGGCCACTGATCAGTTTCACCAAATTTTAACAGCAAATATTTCCTTAATATCAAATGTTTATCATTGTTTCTAATCCAAAAATAGTAATAATAAAATTCTCATTTAATATCAAATATGGACCTGTCCAATGTTTAATCTCTTGTTATCCCATTGATGAACGAGTTCTTCGGATGCTAAGCGTTTCATTCCAAGTGCTGCATAATACAACAAAAAGAAAAAAAGACAAAGAAAGAAAGTGAGTAGAATCCCCCAAGGGGTGCTCAACTTCATGAAGAAATTTCTAATTCTAATCAACTCTATTTCCATTGACTTCTTTATCTCAGCTGTAACACCTTTTACCTCCAGAACAAAAGCACAGCCACACGTAGGGCCAACTAAGTTTCTCCATTCTACTAAAATTTCCATCTTTCAAACATTATGACTCCAAATCTAGATACAAATCAATTCATTCAACGCGGCAACAAAGAAGATAAATAGACTAAAAAAACAACAGAAAGATTTTTGTGCGCAGGACACCACCGGTTCAAAACTTCTGTCAAACATTACTACAAATCCAAAATATGAATCTATTCATTAAACGTAACAAAAACATGAGATAGATTGGATAAACGAAACAATAGAAACATTTTTATGTGCAGGACACCACAGGTCCATAACTCCTTACATGCAGAAACTATAAAAGAGCTGTATAATTTTGTCTCCTAACGTTAAAAAAGAAGTCCTAGTGCGAGCATTTGAAACCTAGAGAGACAAAGGTGGATGTACCTTGTGGTGAAGCATTGCATTTTTTGCACTGCAAGTAAGACAACGTTTAGTTAGACAAGCAAACAACAGGTGGAGACAAAAAAGGGAAACTAAAAGCATCGCTAGGAAAAGAAAGAAAACGACTCGATACGGGAAGGTGAAAGTCCCACCTGTGCACGAGAAGAGTAATTATGGAAGCCACAGTTGCATATCCAATCACCGTTTCGCCAACCCTTCGGAACTGAAAGGATCTGATTAGGGGAACTCATATACGAGATTGCAGAATTATTTCCACCCAAAGGAAATGCTGGAGATGCATGAATTTCATACTTATCAGCACCTCCCAGGGACCAATTGGAGCTCAGAGGATGTAGTTGCTGTAAAGGGCCATTTCTTAATCCAAGATTCATCTTTGTATCCAATCCACCTTGGGTCCTGGCAAAATAGTGTGAATAAGTTGGAAAAGAAGCTCCATGGATTGCAATTGCTGGCATTGCTGCTATCTCCTTTGGTTGGCCACACTTTTTGCACTTCTCTCTTGATGCATAATTGTTGTTAGTGCAACCTATTGCACCAGAGCCAGAAAAACCCAACCCACAAGCAAGCCAGGTATACGCACACCAAGCAGTCCATCCACACCAAATACACATACAAAAAACACAAACGACTCATGACTCAAACCTAATTTTTCATTTTCCTAAAAGTAGGAGTTCGCTGGAATTGAAACATCAATGAAGAGGGAAGACAGAAAAACAATCCTCAGAGAAAATCTTTAACTAGTGATAAAGATGCAATGGAGATTCCTCCGATTTGCTAAAAACAGAAAACTGTTCGTACATAGATGCATATCCCTGATTCTCGTGAAATTTTCCTGGTAAGGTAACTGAATATGTTCTTGAAGAAGTTTAATGGAGCTAAATTGAAAATTTTCAAGAACTATCAGCTCATTTCATTTAGCCCGAAAACTAGAATTTCAAAGCACGAGACCTCGTCAGATTAAGAGTAATAAAACTAACTCCAAAACTTTCCTCCTGTAAAATTTTAAAAGAGAAAGAAACAGTAACATCAACCCAAATTCCGTCACCAAGGTGTGTCAGAAAGAACTGAATGAATAGTGCTGCACTAAAATTCTAATTGAACGTTGAGTTCCAAGTTCAGCGAGCAAATCCAACAAAACGAAATAGATAATATAACATAAATTGCATGTTGCAAGGAAGAACAGCAACTAAAGTTATTATAGGAAGCTAACCCGTGCAGATCCAGTCGCCGATGCGAGGAAGCCATTTGGAGTCTGGAGGGGTTTTATTGTCGACGAGAAGGCGAGGTTGTTTGCATCTGTTACAGAACGATCGGAAAGCATAGTTCCTGTTCTTGCATCCACTACACTCCCAATCGCCTTCTTTTCCTTCGCCCATTACTGCTACTTGTGACGCTGCTTTTCTTTCTATCCCCTCCTTCACTCCATCCATTGCTCGATATATTTAGCTCAACTGATGGTCAAACAACAACCAGTGTGCTCGAAAAGGAGATGGGTAGGCGAAATTTCCGCCTCCAGCACGCGCCAGGGGCGTTTCCTTCTTCTTCTTCTCTGGATGGGCTGGCTTGGCACCGTTTTTGTGGCGGCCTTCGTGGGCTCCAACTTCGATGTCCTTTACGGCTCCAGTAAGCCCTCGGTCTAAGCTTTTGAAGGTTTTTTATAATTTTATTTTAACCGTACTTAACGGTATGAAACCTCTTCGTAACATACATGTTTAAAAATATATTAGAAGTTTGATGACAATACATAATAAGACAAAACTAAAAATATATGTTCATAGTGGGCTTAAGCTCGGGTGGTTACAGTTGATATCAAAGCCAGACATTGAGCAGTGTGTCCCATGAAGACATTGAACTCTAAGGGGGTGTTAGTGGGCTTAGGCTCGGGTGGTTACAGTTGATATCAAAGCCAGACACTGAGCAGTGTGCCCCTTGAAGACATTGAACTCTAAAGGGGTGTTAGTGGGCTTAGGCTCGAGTGATTACAGTTGATATCAAACCCAGACACTGAGCAGTGTGCCCCTCGAAGACATTGAACTCTAAGGGGGTGTTAGTGGGCTTAGGCTCGGGTGGTTACGGTTGATATCAAAGCCAGACACTGAGCAGTGTGCCCCTTGAACACATTGAACTCTAAGGGGGTGTATTATGAGATCTCATGTCGAAGTATTCTTTAAGGGTGTGGAAACCTCTCTGTATCCACCCTGTCTCAAATTTAGTAAATACCTGGGCTCTATTCTTGTACGAAAATGAACCTAAATTGCCACAAAAAAAACCAGATGGTTAGGATTGGAATTTAGAATATTGTTGACTTTTATAGCTTAGTGATGAGCAGCACACGAGCTTAAATTAAAATTTGTATGGTCCAACCATTGATCACGATAATTATAATCCACCGTGCTTCTATTTCCTCCAAGAATTTAAATGTTTTTTTAAATTGTTCAAGTAATTTTTATTCTGAGAAAGCAAAAATACCGATAACTGCCCGCCACGAAATATCAGATTTGATGGTAGAAGAACCTTCTTGAATCCTAAGCCCAAATCGGTTTGGTTTCGCGCGCGTTTGTGTTCGCACGGAATTACAAATTTGTAATCCGTAGTCTGAAGGTCAACACTCACAGAGATCGAGTTAAATGACTGCTAGAAAACAAGCTGAAACGCCAGCCGACGAAGGCGGATCTGGTACGAAGTCACCGCGCATCAAAATCTCGAAATCCTCCGAAGGAGGCGATGCCAAGGTCCTCATACTTCTTTATTTTCATTATCGATTTGTTGGTTGTCTTTGGAAGCAGCAGCTATTTTCGATGCTTCTCTGTATTATCCTTAGTTTTACAGATTTTGCATATCCGTAGTTTAAGGAGACATCATAGATAACGAAGTCTTTGAGTTTTGTCAGGGGACGAGTTTTTAAAATTGTTGATCTTTGAAAAATCTGTTCAACATTGCACTAGCCCCAATTTTGTGTCAAGGCATTTTCTACTGTTGTAGAGCGCTAGCAAGAAGCTTAAAGACATGGAAATTTGTGTCCCAATAGTCTGTGGAACCATCGCATTTTACCTTGGTAGGAAGGCGGGTAAGTCTCCAACCTTCAGGGGCTGTTTCATTTACTCTCCTTCATTTCAGGCATTTGGCCAACTAAATTTATCCATTGTATTTATTCTCTTTAGGTCCCAGTCACATAAATGGACAGTCTATGTGCGTGGTGCTACTAGTGAGGATCTTGTGGTGGTGATAAAGAGAGTAGTGTTTCAGTTGCATCCTAGCTTTAGAAACCCAACAAGAGCGGTCGAATCGCCGCCCTTTGAGTTATCAGAATGTGGTTGGGGAGAATTTGAGATTGCCATCACCCTTTTTTTCCACACCGATGTGTGTGAGCAACAATTAGATTCGTAGGTTATTGTTATTATTTTCTTGTGGCATTGATAGTGGTTTTATCTATATGGGAAATCCTATTTGTAACACTCTTTTAAATTATTATAGGTTTCACCATGTCACGACCCCAAATTAAGCCGTGACTAACATTGTATGACATGTAATGCATAAACGAGAAATTCAAGGAAATCATTTGTTTCAAAAGAAAAACATATCTTTATTAGAAGGACATAAGTGCCTAGGTAAAAGAAAAACAAGGAAAGGAACATGTGAGACAAAGTGTACTATTTAGTAAACTAGACTGACGCCCCGGGACACGCTTCCTCTGTGACAACCCACATCGATCGACGCGCCCTCTCTTGACTCGACGCCTCACGTACCTGAAAAAAAA